AAACAGGTAGCATTTGGTATTTGTTGTCCAGATAGTGGTAGGATGATGGTCCCAACTGTCTTCACCTCAAGTACAGGAAGAAGAATGGAAAAGCAACTTCCATTCTGACAACCCAGGCAGGGCATATGTGTGCAGACCCAATACACAACCAACACCAGACCACCTGTGAACCCAACATTTGGGAAAGGTAGGAAGGAGAAATGCAAAGGTAGTAGGTCAAACTCCAGTCCAAACCAGGCAGTATCAGAAATTTGTTATCCGGTCTGTGGTAGGAGAAGGACCACTACCAAGCATGTGTGAGGACTTATGTTAGCTGGTCCTATGCTGATCCAACACCAGACCACCCAAGAATCAAGATCCAGGAAGCAGTAGGATGGGGGAGAGCTAGTCAGAGGGGTGAACTGCATGTAGTCGAAAACCAGATAGCATCGTGAATTTGTCTTTCAGTCTGCAGTAGAAGAAGAGTACTCACCATCAACACTGACAGAATGCTACTGCTCTACTCTTTGCTAAGTGGAAGAGGTAACATTCAGGAGGAAGCTTCCATTTTTCCACCACTCCTGTGACTAGAAACTGGTAAGTGGCAAGGACTCTTGTACTGTACCGGAAGAGGAGGCAACAATGTAGTAGAGAGTCTGGAGGACCACCATAAGAAAATGCAATGGGTAACCACAAAAAACTCTATTTTGAAAAGCAGGCCAGTCCTGGTTTATTCAACTAGGATTGGAGGATTAGGTAGCAATCCTGACACTGCTTTATTCATGATAGTCCATGAGTTGGTATGGTCTGGTATGGGCCTTATTTATGAAGTAGGATACATAAGGAGCCATCTAGCAGTCTTGTGGAACATCTCATCTCACCAGTGAGCATTACAGGCCTGTAAGATAGTATGGTACAGATTTAAATTTAAGTATACTCAGACAGGCACTGCCCACCACTGAGCAGGATCCAGAGATATAGAAATAGGCCACTGTAAAGGTAAGATATACAAAAAAGAGAACTTACCCATACTGGGGTATGGAATGGTGACAGGAGGAAGTCAGTATCAGGAAGAGTTGGAGAAGTTTGTGCAAACTGGTGTATAGATTGACCCACTTACTTTTCTCAATCTTTTATCCATATTTTCTAGATGATGGAAGTGAAAAGCCAAAGTGAGAGTAAGGTGTCAGAACTGGTGAGGAGACTTAAGAGTTGACATGAATCTACATCCAATGAAACATAGGCTAAATGGAAGAAGTGCTGTAGCCATCCCTTGAGAGTAATAGCAGAAATATCTCGGAGAGACAAAAAATTCCAAAGAATAAATAGATGGAAGCATGAACTACAAAAAAGAGCAATGCAGGCCAAAGCCTCATTTGTACAACAAATGAAAAAGAAATTGGAAAAACGAGGGACAGAGAGAAGGGAATGGAAGAAAACATGACATAAAGACCAGCTATGGAATGTGCACCCTTGTCATTGACAGACAAGAAGAAGGCTACTTGTCATGGGAGTCTGGAATATTTTTCAAGGGACTGGATAAAACCAATATGTGAAGTCAGAGTGATGACATTGCTGGATGGGAGAGAAAGGAATGAGGTTGAAGGAGTAGGGAGACTGACAGAGATTGAGGAAGAGGACAAAATAAGGAGTAATAGAGGAAACAAAGGCATAGCCAGCCAGTAAGGAGTTATCAATAGGAGTCAATATGGAATGTAGAGAATGAGGGAAAACATGAGGGAGAAGAGTAAGAGGGTAGGTGTGGTGAAAAACTGGACCAATCCTGACAGAATGCATCCTCAGCTAAAGTTGAGAGAAGAAGAACAGGGGACCAGGAAAGGGAAAGTAGGGTGTTGAGAAGTGGCAAAAACCTCAAGAAGAATAAGAGTGTCCAGCTGAGAGCATAGCAACATGAACAACAGAGGAACAAAGGACCAATCCATAGTTAGTATCTTGGTGGGCCTCGAGGGATGATCCACGATAACACTCAGGCACCCAGAACAGAACAAGCTATTAGATGTACTAGTATGGAATTGGCTCAGAAAAGAAGGGTGATAGTATGGAAACAGGGAAAGCAAGATGAAATGTCCCCCTGGTGATTGATAAAGGAGACAACTGCAGAGTTGAGTGAACATATCATCAAGAGATGTTTAAGAATCATTCTTTAAAACATCCAAAATTCGATGTGCCGCTAACAGTTCTAAGAGATAGATTTGAATGGACAATATGCCATGGTACCAATGACCCGAATTCATATGAGAGTCAAGACATGCCCCCCATCTCATCATGGTGGCATCTGAAAACAGAAGGAGACCTGAGGAAGAGGAATACCCACTATGAGAGTAGTTTTATCATGTGAAGTCTTTGAATAAGAAAGGAGAATGGTTGAGGACAAGAAATCTCAAGCAAAAATCCAGAGAACATGCAGTCCATTGTAGACATCACAAATGAGCATGACTCAAGGGCATACAGAATTCTATGCAAACCCAAGTATCCAAAAAGAACAAAACCTCTCACACAGTGTGAGAAAAATATATGGCATGGTACACCAATCATCAATGTTACTTTGCAGCCATTAGAACCAACACTGCCATGACCAATGTTGGCAATAAACAAGATCACTTAGAAGATGTAAAATAGTTGGAACAGGAGAAATTAGAGGTGGAGAGGAAAAAATTAAATCGAAAGCTCTCCGAGAGAAATCCCAGTACTCAACAATTGGATGCAAAGGAAAGGCAAACACAGTCACTGCCAAGACTAACAGTACTGAAGCCTACATGTGAAAAGAAATGGAAAGTGATGACAGAAAAAGAAAAGGAAGCAGGAGGACAGGAAACAGACAAAGGCAAAGAAGGTGTACAGGTGATACAGTGAAGTAAAGGATAACTCTTCCACCCAAGAAATACTTTTCTGTGCAAATCACTGAGTTGCATTCAAAATTTAATTAAACACCTTTATTATCAATGTATGTGAATGAAATTACATTATAATGAGTTAAAATTCCAAATATTATGTTATATACGTTTTAGTTCATTTATTTCAAAAAATATTTAAAAATTACTTAAAACATTGGGTTTTGTTGTCACATGACCCACAAACTGAAAAATATCAAATTTCATTCCACTGTATGCTGATGATAATATTTATACTTAGTGATATGGTAAAGAAAATGAAAAATAAAATATAAGCATTTACCTTAAAAACTTTTGATACTCACTTAGGAGGTCCTAGAGGTTATGCAAATAAAACTCAAAAACTGCAAGATGAAGAAAAGTATCTTTATACTTAAAATGAAATTCATCTTGCTTGTGAACTATTAAGGGTTTGAGTGCAAATTACTACAACAGATAAATAACATATTTTAGTAAAATGTTATTATTTATAATATTTAAAAAAATCTTACCAGTTGTTGTGAGGATATGTTAAGAAATCTCAGAGTTACAGTATGTATCGTTGCACTTGTATCATTCCCCAGCATACCAGTAAAATCATCCAGGCAGATGAAAGGAACCAGAAGAAGGCATATGAGATACAAGGGAGACAAAAGCAATCGAGTTACAAGGGGATCACATCCTAACCAACTCTAGCAAAAGATCAACCAAATAAGAAGTAAAAATGCCGAGGAAGATAAACACATCACTGTAGAAAAGATAAGTAAATGAACATTCATCAAAAACTCCACAGGGTTATGGATTACCATGGAAAGAAGGTTAAAGAAGAAAAATAATAAAAATGGTAGTTTGTGTACGATGAAGGTAGGAAAACCTAAGCCTAAGAAAGACAAAACAAAAGGCAGAGGATCTGACATCCAAATCTGAAGAAAAGAGTGTAGGAGTCAAAGAAAAGCAATACAGCACAAAATCATGCCTAATCATACATGGTACCAAAGGAAGGAGGATGAGGCATGTATGCCCTAAAGTAGCGGTAAGCACAACGGAATATGTAAAAACAAAACTGAGAAACCTACTCATGAAATCATGAAAAAGGTTGAGGTGCAATCAAGACAATAAGGGTAGAAGTTGAGGGAAAAGTAGGTGGGAAGAAACCAGCAAAATCTCTTTTTTCATGAATAAGCAGAGGTATGTAAGGACAAAAGATAGCTCAGGCCACATGAAAGACCCCATCATCTGCCACACATAAGTTGTCACCTCTCCCAACAAACAAAGACAGACCCAATGCCAATATAGTTGTCAGGCTAGTGTGAACAAAGTCATGTTGTGTCACACCATACAAAGTGGAAGTTACTGACACTTGTGAAACAATGTCTTTGTATATACTTCCACTGAGAAACACCTACATCTGAAAAGTTCACAAGGGAAAAAAAATACAAGTCTTTACACATGAGTGGTGTATTGAAAAGTGATGATTGTGCTCTAGAGTATAGAGGGAGGGTCTATCACATTCTTATTGGTGGAGGGTTGTTGCATGCTCATATGCAACTATACCACGTGTAAACAAGACAATAATTGTGCATATAGAGGGCAGCACAAATTGAGGAAAGCTATTATGTGAGAAGAGGTAGGGTATCATATGAGAATTTGTGGTTTATATAGCAGCCTTGTTTATTAATTAAATTTTTTGTGATATAACTGAAGTTAACTTATTCATAAAATTGGCTTTTACATTATATTGGTTTTTATGGATGTGTTTTTTTATATTAATTGGAACATCTCTATAAAACATTTTGATACATATATTATAGTTCACTTGTACTTGTATATAAAATTATTTTTTAGTGTCATTTGGGTACCCCATCAAAATTTAAAAATGCCTTATGAAAAAAAGCAACTGTTATTTAAACTTATGACAATTTTACTAAAATTTGTATTTTCTATCATAAATATGATTTCCTTTGTTGGAATAAAATATGTATTTGGCTTCAATACTTTTTTCTGTAGTGGAGTTAATATTCAAAGTCTTAATTGGCTTGATAGCTTGAGATTAGTTATATTATTTTACATAAATAAATTACTTTTAGTAAAATTCTATTTAAGTTTGGATGAAAGCAAATTGGAACTAACCAGACAACTCTAATAGGTTTAGGTATATAGGTATCATTCAGAAATTTCCTCAAAATCATGGTGCATGCTTCTCCAACTTGATCACTTGATAATGTCTCTAAATATTCTGCTTCTTTGCCAGACACCCATGCTAAAAGTACTGTTTCTGTAATTTTACTGAAAGAATAGATTTTTCTGTACCACGTTTTGCTAATATCTTGTTCCGTTGTCTCATCCCACAAAGTTATCACCTCAGCAATTTCTGGATTTAAGAAAGGTTGCTCGTACTCTAAATAGATTTTATCTACAACTCCAAAACAAAGGTTTTTAATGGCTTCTCTTTTGTAATCTGGTAGAGGCGGGTCAAAAATGTCTTCCGCAGTTGCTTTTAGCACACCAAGAGGAAGTGTCACAATCACATGCTTTGAATAAAACTTTTGCCCATTAACAGCTTCAACTTCAATTTTAAAGACTTCCTGGATATTTGATGCAGGATTATTACATTCTGATGACTTTTGGTCCAATAAGCAATTAAGTGCTTCTGATTTGTGGTTGGGACCCCATCTAATACACTTTACAGGAAGTCCTTTCAAAATAGAATCCTTAGGAAGATCTTTAGTTAGACATTCTAAAAGAGAAAAATAGCTTTTGGGCAAGCTCACATTTCCCCCAGGAAGCTCAGTGTAACTTCCAAAGTCATTTAGTCCTGTCTCATCCATGCTGTGACAACCTGTGATGCAAGTTTCTCTGCTGAGCAAATGATTAAAGACCATGCGTCTAATTCGACAATCTTCACCTTCATATTGGTCAAGGAAAGCTTTGATGTCCATTTCCAAATGTTTACCAACACTGTTGGATACTTCTGAGGGAGGGTGAATTCGAAGTAGAAAATATTCTTCACACCGTTTGCTAAACCAAAAGTAGGCACTGTACACTTCTTCCACTACTGCAATAGGCACTCGTTTCCCCTCTTCTGTTGTTGCTACTACTGTATGTGGGTGTTGGTCATTTGTCAACTGAATCAACTTATTCATAATGGCTAATTCATAAATTGGGTTTCCCATGATTCCATGTATCCACTTGGCACCCAATTCAACATGTGTATTCCCTGAAACAGATAAATAGGAAAGTAAGTATATTTCTACTGCAAAATATAAAGTTTTTCTTCTCTTTACATGATACATACAGTATAAGGAAATAAACTATATGATGAACATTGTATATGAATCGATTATTATGGCGTAAAATACCTTAGAGTTTACAAGAAAAAGAGTGTATAACAGTATTTCAAACATTACTTGAACAATTTAATGACTGATCAACAAGAACACCTAGATCTTTTACTTCCATAACAGTATTAAGATTATTACCATCAAAATTATCTTTATAATTCAAAGTATGATAATGCTAATGCATTACATCACATTGCATTTACTATAATTAAAACCACCTGTCATTTATTTGCCTAACTCACCAAATAATGTAAGTCCTTTTATAAAGCAGCAGCATTCTCCTCACAGCTAGCAACATCTAAAACCTTAACATAATTAGCAAATTTAAGTAATCTATTGACTATTCTTTCATCTATGTCACTGATGTAGAAAAACAAGAGCAAAGGTCCTAACAATGAGCCCTGAAGCACCCCACTTGCAGTATTAATCCAGTTTGATTGAACTCAATTTATAGCAACACTGCTTTCCTCTACTCAGCCATTTTTCCAAAAAGCCAACTTATACCCCACACTTATATAGGTAATTTTTAACAAGCCTTTTATGTAGCATCTTGTCAAATGCTTTCTGACAATCCAAATACATCACATCCACACCTGTAACCTCATCTACATAAGCAGTAACATCTTCAAAGAATGTCAGTAGATCAGTAAGGCATGATGTTGACTAACCAATAAAATTCTAAACTTTGTTAAATGTCTTTAAACAGACTTTCCAAAACTTTTCCCAACACTGATGTATTAACACTGATGAATTTATAAAATGTATTAACAAGATGCTCACATATCCAATCCTTAACCTCTTTCAAAACTCTGGGGAAAATACTGTCTGGCTCAGAAGCTTTATCATTCTTTACACTTCCTAATTTTTCCTTAATAGCCTCAGAATTAATATAAGCATCTTGTTGAATCTTGTTTTCATCTACAAACTATTAAGGATAAGGAATATTGCTTTAAAGGTAGTAAAAAGTTTTGCACATGCACCAAGCCTTTGTATGGAACTCCCACCCCTACATATAATAATGTGTAACACACAATCTATCATACAATCAGCTTTAAACTATACCCCTCCACTAACAGCAAGGCAACAGAACCTTCCTGTGTGGTAATCCCTCTGTGCACTTTGTTTATACCAAAAACGCATTATTGATAAGGCAAAAGATACACACCACCATGAGGAGAAAAGGTAAGGTGTTCTGTGAAGAAATGAATATCTATTTGAAACATAGAACATCCAGAATTCCACAATGAGAAAATGGTGGAGGGGCTGGTGATGATAAATTCAAAATATGAGCCCTTCTCTGAGAATATAACAACAGAAAGAGAAAATTCATGGGGGTATGGCATCCACTGAGAGAGGAGGAGCTAGTGGGCACACCACTCAGTACGAGACAACATCCATCTTAAGAAGGGAATAATCTTTGCCCAGAAAGCCCAGTAGCACAGAAAGGTTCTGTCAAAAGAACCTCTTTCATGGTGCTAAAGTGTTTGCAGAGTTCAGCAGAATGTGAAGGCTTCTCAAGCAGCCTGTATATCTGATGGGAGGGGGAGGGACCGACTGTGTGTGTGTACATTGGCTTGGGCAATAAGTCAAACCCTACAGTGTATGAGAAATACCAGAATAAGCAAGAGCTTTTCCAAAACTAAAAGAAATTTGGAGGGGGTAATTCCCATAAAAGAGAACAACACAAAAAAGTGCATTAACTAAAAGGAATATTCTATATTCTATCTTCTGTATAAAATCTCACACTGAGAAAGTGTGCAATGGGTTACTGCCCATAGAGACAGGCAGGATTGGCTAGGGAAACACAGCTGGTAATTTTTGTATGCTCGGAAGTAGCTGTATGGGTTGGAGGGTAAAATACATAAACTGCTTAAACAGTCTTTCAGGAAAGGACACATCTTGTGTACTGAGCAGGGATAGATGGGTTTAACACTTTCATCCATTACTCAAAGTGGATTTTGGGAGAGAGAGAGAAGCATTCCCTTTGAGACAACATCTGGCCTGTGGTGGGCTCCATTGTCTTCAGTATGCTTTTTAATTTTGAGGAGTTTGCTTATCATTTATGTTTTTGTTTTTTGTAGAAGTTGCAAAGAAAAGAAATAATCAAACACTCACCTCCTTAGAGCCTCTGGGAAGATTTGAGAATGGTGATAGGAGGGAGACAAAACCCAGAGACTGAAGAAACAGCAGTGTGTTGTTTCAGTGGAATTTTAGGTAGTGTACACATAGAAGGTTTGAAAAGTTTAATGGACTGCAACTGTATGTTTGAAGAAAAGACAATGATATTTTGGCTGCTTCTATACTGAGGCCTTCTTCAGTGAGGTGTAGATAATGTGAAACAAAGTTGTTACGGGTCTTCTCATCCCCACCTTCAATATATAAATCAGAAGATGTTGATGGCTTGAAACAAGAGATGCCATAAGATGACAAATGTGATGACAGGTTACTTAAAAAGAATGGAAGGAGTAATTTCCCATAGAGAAATAGCCAAACTGGATGAGTTGCTTATCCATTGAGATAACAGCAAATTGCTCAAATAGGACAAGAGAGATTATCGAAGTTGAAACAATCATCCAGAGAAGTAAGGGAAGAGATAATAATTGGAGAAAACTACCAATCACCCTCTCTGGCAGCCATTATCTTGGAGGGGAAGAAGAAGTCTGGGAGTAAAATCAACCTGTTCCTGTGGTAAAGATTGTGGGAGGCATCCATGGAAAAATTATCAGACTGGCACCTCCCGCAAGTGAGAAGGAGAAGAATAGAGTCACAAATGTATCAATAAGAGGACTCCCAAAGTGAAAGCAAACCACAGAAACAGAAGATGTATGGAACACTATGTCAGAAGGATTTGGTTCATGCAAGATAGCCAATCTGCCACTAAATTCAAAGCTCCCAGAACACAAAAGGCCAACATATGTTGTTGTCATTAATCCAAAACAATAGCTCAAGAAAAAGAAAGCAGAGGTCATAAAAGTGTGTGTCTCGTAAGTTTACATATGTAAAGGTAAAAACAGGCTGTTCATACAGCTGTAACAAGAAATGTAACTGTCCATACTTCAAGGCTAATGATGTAAAAAACCATCGCCACAGAAGATCAAACACCAAAAATGATGAAGGTATCCAGAAGAGCAGCTGGCTAAAGAGGCAAACATGCACTTGTATGGAAAGTTCAATAAGAGCATATTTCACTGAATGGGACACAAAATAACACATCCAGATGAAGAAGTGTCACAAAATAAAGCAAAAGTTCCTAAAAGAAACAGAATCTCACACACGGGAATAAAATGATACATGAAAGCCTTGGAAACCAGAAGGTCCATATCTTGGAAATTTAAAGGAGAATGTCCAAATGATTCAGATACTGAATTGGAATTCAATAATGATTTAAGAGTCTGACCAGCTAACCCAAATGAGCAGACACTCAAAACAGAAGGTAGGATATATAGCACATGATACCTATCCCAAGGCAGCTCCAGAAGATCAAAAATGTCCATACAGTGGTGGAAATGTAGACCAACAAGTATATTCTCCTTGTGAAATATCTCAAGACTTACTTGAAAATAGACAAAAAAAAAGACAAATTAAGCTACTAAGATGAAACTCTTGTGACGCACAGGTGAGCAAAGTGTAAGATCCTAGCTCTCACAGGAGGCATGGTTCCAGAAACAACTGATTACCTAGCCAAATAATGGTTTGCCTCTAGGGAGGTGAGGGTCTCAGAAAAAGGCAACAAGGCAAGGAACATCACAAGGACTTTGGCATGAAGGAAGGATACCAAATGAAGTTCTGAGATAAAACTGAGAATGTCTATCTCCAGAAAATAAGACATCCTAATGAAGCAATGCCAAAAACAAAGAATACAAGTGAACTGGATAATCGTTGAAGAATAAAACAGGACAGCATGAAGAACAGGTTAGTGTGACCTTCTGTAAAGCTGTCAGAACAGCAAGCTAAGAAGGTAGATAAACGATGAAGAGAAACAGGCTAAAGTAAAAGAAAATTCAAGTTGGGAAAAAGAGATTCACAAAAAAGAAGCACTAAGAAAAGAGGAAAAAATTACAACCACAGTCCACAGAGAAAGACTTTTAAGATGGGAATGATGTAGCAACTAAGTCAAACGGAAGCAGAGACAGAAAGAATCTGCAATAATGCAACAATCATGAGAAGAAGGAAGAGGGAGATGCAGCAAGTTCACCTCAGAACCAGCAGAAACAACTGGGGTAAGAGAACAAATAACACATGCCTGAGTTATCAAAGGACAAAGGTGGATGTCACTCAATCTTTGTCAAGTATAGAAGAACTAAAAGCAAAAGCACACTGTGGAAAGAGCTGGACAATATTGTCTAAACACAGTGCAGGCTCTGTAGAAGTTACATAAGCAGGAAGTTGGAAGTCTGGGATCTGATAAGAAGAATGTATGATAGAACCCACACATGATATACAATGGTCGTAATGCTGCTCACTAACAAAGTAACTCCAGCTGTCATTTTAAGGAAAATACTACAACTCCTAGAGAAGAGTCGGGCCCTCAGTTTCATAAATACAATTACTAGAAACTGTATCCAATAAGATCCAAGAAACTGAAGTCACTGAAAGTATCAATATTATTATGTCAACAGTTTTTGTATATTTATATTATTATTATTATTTTCAGTAAGTCTGGTATGCCCATGGTGACTTTGGTAATTTCTATTTAGATGAAACTGCAAGTAATTATCAGCTTCTGCTGAAACACAAACAATGGGTTAATGATAATAGGGAATACTCCTGCCAAAGTAACCATACCACAGACTGGAGCATGTCCCAAAACCTTGTAGTTTGATTAATTAAAAGAAGAAATCAAAATAATACAGAGTGATTAAAAAAAAATTTTTAC